CCCCCCCCCCCCCCCCAGGCTGGGTTGAATGGGTTCCATGAGGGACTAAAGGCAGGGAAGGGGCAGAAACCTGAAAGTGCTGTCTTGAACACACACACAGCCATTCCATCTGCTCCCAACTCCACACTGCTCTTCTCTCAACTGTCTGCACATCAGTAACATTTGCAAATGGTCCACTCAGAAGGTGGCTTTCCCACCTTTCCCTCACCACTACTTGATTATTTTATTTTCCCATATTCACATATAAAAATCCAACTTCTTGCCTGCCCCCAAATTCCAATGAACATTTCCCTTGGCAGCCACGTTTTCTAAATGGCAGCTGAGGGAGTTGAAAGCAGAAAGAGCTAGAAATCCACCAGGAGTTTCTAACTTGCTTAGCAGCGCAAGAGAGATTGTAGTGAGTCCTTCCTTCTTTCTCTACTTTCCACGTTGCACACCATACTTGTGTGTATGCACGTGCATGTCCCTAAGAGATCTGTTTAATCATCAAGGTAGTATCCTGTGCAAATGTACTTAAGAATGAAGTCCCATTGAGTTGCAACTGAATTACCTTCAAGGGAGAAGGAACAACTTACAGACCTTTTGACTGCTTTCACATTACAAGCAATATTTTCCTGGGTAGAATTGTGAATCTCTGGATAGAGCTTTTAAAAGAATATCCTGAAATTGCCAGTCAAGCATTGAAATGTCTTTGCCTTTTACAACAACAGACTTTCATGGGAGAACCTTTTCTTTATATGCAGCAACAACAATAAAAAAAAGTATAGCAAGTATAGAGTCATATGAAAAAGTAAGTACACCTCACTGAATTTTTTGACTTTTTCAGCATATTTTAGCATACAGATATTTAATCTTTGTTTCAACAATATTGATAAAAGGAATATAACAAATACCATGCACTATTTACATGTTATAGTCCATTGTATAATTTAAATAAACATGAATGCAAATTTTGCATGTGGAAAAGGTAAACACACCTCTACGTTTATCACTATCTCAAATACCTAAAATTAGAATCAGATGCACCAGATCAGATGCACCATCTTTAGAGAGGATCTGGGAGGAACCTGTCTTAATGAAACCTCAGACATTTAGTTTGATTTGTTCTTTGTTTTTGAAGTGTTTAGTATCACCATGTCTAGACTGAAAGAGTTCTCTGAAGCTTTCAGAAAGAAGGTTATAGATGCCATCTGAGTCTGGAGAAGGATCTAAGAAGATCACCAAACAATTGGACATCAATCATTCCACTCTCCAGAATATCATCTACAAATGGAGATTTCAAACCACTGCCAACTTGCCCAGGCCAGGCCATCCCAGCATGTTCAGTCTGAGAACAGAATGCAAGATGCTGAAAGAAGAGTCTAAGAACCCCAGAATTTCATCATGTGACCTACAGGTAGCTCTTGCCACTACTTATGTCCAAGTGCATCAGTCTACTGTTAGAAAGAAGCTGCACAAATTAGATCTACATGGGAGGTGTGCCAGGAGGAAACCTTTGCTGTCCAGAGAGAACATCAGGGCAAGACTAAACCTTGCTCTTGAACACCTAGGCAAAGGCCAGGGTGTCTGGAAAATGTGCTCTGGACAGATGAGACAAAGATAGAGTTATTTGGCCACAGTACTAGACAACATGTTTAGCAAAAGCAAAGACAACATTTCACCAAAACAACCTGATACCAGTTGTAAAGCATGGTGATGGAAGTGTTATGGTTTGGGGCTGCTTTTCTGTATTAGGGCTTGGGCAGCTCTCCATCATAAAATCCACTATGAATCCTTCTTTGCATCAAAGGTTGCTTGAGGATAATGTGAGACCATCTGTCAGAAGATTAAAGCTCAACCAAAGTGGACCTTGCAACATGACAATGACACTAAAGATTCAGTAAATCCATCAAGGAATAACTGAAAAAAGAAAGGAAGCAAGCAAGCAAGGAAGTGAACTCTGGAAATGGAAATGAATTCTGGAATGGCCAAGTCAAACTTCAGATCCAAATCCCATTGAGATGCTGTAGGGTGATTTGAAACGGGCTATGCATGTGAAAACCCCTCAAACATTGCATTGCTGAAAAAATTCTGCATGGAACAATAGCAAAAAAATGTTCCCAGTCGATGTCAGACTGGTAGACAGTTATAAGAAAAGCCTACTTGAGGTTGTTTCTACCAGTGGGGGCAATGCCAGGTATTAGAGCCAAGGGTGTATTTACTTTTTCCACAGAAGGAAATGGCATATCTGTTATTTTTTGTTGAATAAATGATTGCAATGTCAATTTTCACAGTTTTATGTTCAATTACATCTACTTATCTTTATATACTGTTTGAATGAAGATAAAATATTGATATGTCCACACATGTTAAAAAAGAAAAAAAATTACATGGGGTGTACTTACTTTTTTACATGACTATAGAAGTAGGCTAAATATAGAAAATATCTCTACTTGCAAATAACGTTAATTGTTCTAAGTATTGAGCTTTTATCCAAGGAAGAGCAGCACATCTCAGTCATTGAATATTGATTTGTTGGTTAAAACATTAATCTTCCAAATAATTGTAAAATTCAAGTTCTATTTTTGTACTTTGAAAATATTAATTTTACATTTACAATAAGCAGTTTACTTTTAATTTTATTCCTAGATCTCTATTACTAGTATTTTTTTTCTCTTGATCAAAGGTTCTGGGATTTTTTTCTTAAACTGACGCTTTAAAGCGTTTGAAAACCCTGTTCTAAGACGTGGGTAACATATTTAAAGACTCCTCTTCTTTGATTGACCACTGTAATGTGTACAACTTGGTTTTGGAACTTTGTTTACTGCAGCCAGGATGTTGTCTTGAACAGTAGCATTATTTCTGAAACCATTAGTACACATTTTGTTGCTTTTATCACATACAGGTGGAAAGCCCTGTCCTCCTACTTCTGCACTCCAGGAGTATCGCCTGTGTAATGAGCATTCTTGTAATCAACTATACTGGGAAGCATCTGCATGGAGTCTCTGTTCAGAAAATGCCTTGATAACAGCTCTGAATACTACTACCAATTGGAATGGCAAGACAACCTGTGGAGTTGGTGTACAGACTAGGAACGTCTTCTGTGTGAAAAATAACGCTGGGCAGGTCCCAGCTAAAAGGTATACAGTATGGCTATAATATTTGGTTTATTCTCCTCTAAACACTCTCATATTTCAGTTTTATACAAATTGGAAAAGGCCATTGTATAACTATCCACTTACCAAGAAGATGAACACACCACCATCATTACCACATAACTCCTCTCTTTCTCTGGCAAGCACATGCTTCCATTTCTAGAAGATGAGCAGAACTACATTAAACTAGTCCACAGGTAGTCAAATAGACATAATGGTCTCTCACACGTAAAGTATAAAGCTGATATAGCTGTAAATTTTAATATAACTTGAAAGCAATGTCATGTGACCACCAATGCATCTCAATATGCAAAGCATGTCTTTCTCCCAGGTTAGATGGAAAAGTAGGTCGTAACTGCTTTTCTGAACCCTAGGAGAGATATAAATGTGCAGAAATCCTTCTGGCCACAGCTGCCATCTGCAGGAGCTATGAATCCTAGAGGACCCCCAAATTGTGGATCATCTCTGAGTTGAGGAGTACAACCCCATTCAGAGACAAAAATAGTGCTACCCTGGAACTGTTTGGCCCAAAGATGCAAAGTCTGTTCTCCCCATCTGGACATAATATGTTAAGCTTTTTCTTCTCCCCCAGCCCAAAGTTTCACCATAAAGGAAGCTCTCATATAAGAAACAAATACATTTGTATGGGTTCTCCAGGGTTTGTAGTTAAGTACTGTGGTTGTTGTTTTAATCTGCTAAGGGCAAAGCTTCTGGGCACATGAGGCCAAATTATATTGAGCTCCTTTACAGAATGATTATTGGAAAATGCTTTCAAAACTGATTCTGTTTCCTTTAATGTAAGTTTACTAGGACTCTGTAGATGTTGAAAAGGATTTGCAAGAATCCTTTTTAGACCTTAGGTGAATAAAACTGCTCTCTGCTATTTGCTTAAACAGCCCTCAAAAGGTATTGCTGCTTTAAGAGTCACATTAACTTTAATAAGTAAGATTCCTTAAAGCAGCAGCACCTTTTTCAGGATCACAAAGAAGCCTGTAAAATTAGCCTATTTCAAAGGATAGCAGAGAGGTGCTGTGTACACATGAGGTTTGAAATACTTTTTCCAAATCAGATTTGAAGTGTTCATAGCCCTGTGCTCAATCCTCAGATAAAAAGGTGCTGAATAACTACTATACTGTGAGGTTTTATTGGAGTTATCCAATGAAAAACAAATTTGATTCAAAGGAACATATTTAGCCTTGCAGCTGACCTAATCTGCTTGGCTTTAGTAGCTCAGAGAAATGAGAAATACAGATGTTTTTGCATTTTTTTTCCAAATCAAGACATTGCTAATTACTTTTTTGCTCTGTTAATGAGTCTAGAGAATTACAAACTAGTTTTAATTCTTATTGGATCTTTCTGTCTCTTTCTCAAAAAAAAATCTGCTAAAAATGAGCAGGTTGTGTTGACTCCCGTACAGTTAATTAAAATGCTTTAAGATAATGAGACTAATTGACAAGGAAAAAAAAAGCCTTCTGTTCCTTCAGAAGAAGAAACCTCATCAGCTTTATTTCATTATACATTGTTTAAAACATAATTTGGCCATTACCCTTATATAGAAGTCTAATGACATGGATATTTTGCTCAAGCAGATGCTGTAGAATATTGCGATAGGCCTGGAGTGTCAAAAGAGCATATGACCTGAAAAAATAGTGAAAGAACTCCTTCCTCTAACATAATGTGGTTATAATGTAACATGTCCATAGCCACAGAGATCTGTGAAATTGGTACTTCTATCTAATATTTCAGTAGAAAAAAATGATTTAGTTTGGTCACCCAAGGGCTCATTTGGCCTTACATGCCTCAGTGAATGTGAAGAACTGAAGGAAGTTTGTGCTAACATACATCTTTTGCCAGACCTGCCTTTCTTAGTCATGATAATCCAGTTGATTATATTTTTCTCATTGACTTTGGAATTTCTTCTTCAGAGGAAACAAGGATGTCAATACTGAAAATTATTTAAGATCCTGGTTTGTTCTGGAACTGGTACTCAAGTTTTCTGAGTTCAGAAGAAGCCAGTTACAGTCCAAATGAAACTAGAATCTGGGATTTATTTGCAAACTTCAAGTATTAACTGCAACCGATCAAGAGAGCATATAAGAGGGGGAGGGCAGGAGGGAGGGAGAGAGCTACACATGCACATCCACACACACACACACAGGCACATATACATACTTACTTATATGAAGCAGATGGTGTGACTGATTAGCTTTGATTAAGGAGGGTTAGCTTTGCCAGCTGTGGAAATAAACGGTATAGTAAAGGGAAATATTAAGCCGGGAAGAATATTATGGGATATCACTTATAATGGAAAAAAGTAAATAAACAAATATTTGATGGAACTTTTTTCAAATTTTTAATCACTTGTCTTTACCCTGGCCCACTGAGGGATTATTGGTAAACTACCTATTTACCTATCTGCAAGATAGCTCTGATCAAGGGGACGCGGTGGCGCAGCGGCTTAATGACGCTGAAAGTTGCCGGCCAGAAATGGTCGACGCTTCAGCGGTTCGAGTCC